ATCACCCAAAGGAGACTCCCTGCATGCCGTCCACCAGGAAAGAAAGTAAGGGAACTGCCCAGAAATCCCTTACAACATACTTGCTGAAGACGCAGGAAACTTGCAGCATGTCCCTAGATAATACCGACTGAGCATCTCCATCCCGCCTAACGCAGGATACCTCAGCTCATCCATATACACAGGACAGCAGCTTACAAAGATGGACTTGGAATCCTGTTTAGAGACTATGGACACTAAACTGGCCGCTAAATTCCAGTCAGAGCTTCATAAGAGTATAATCGTCCTTTCTCAGGAAATAGCTGCGCTGGGTTCTAGAACAAATCGCTTAGAAACCAAACATGATGAGCTCAGCCTGGCCTATGACGAGCTCTCCAGAGATCATGATCATCTACAAACAGCCTTTATACAGGTGCAGGTTGAGAATCACGATAATCGTAATCGTAGGAACAATCTGTGTGTTCGGGGAATCCCAGGGACGGTGACCAATCTCTCACAGGCTACAACTAAATTGTTCAAATCCCTCCTTCCGGACAACGACACTAGATCCTTTGCATGCGATCAGATACATAGACCTCGGCGTCCAAAGCCTCCTGACGATAAACCGCCTTGTGACATTGTTCCGTGTATGAAAGATTTCCTGATAAAGGAGACATACTCAGAGCTGCTTGCAATACCTCTGTGATCTCCTTTGATGGCTCAACTCTGCTAATTTTTCCAGATGTCTCTCTGGCCACATTGGAGAAATGTCGAAAAATTCAGGAAATCATGTCTGCTCTTTTCTCGGCTCGAATTTGCTACAATTTACTAAAGTTTCCCCTTTAAGTTTATAGTTCCACACAAAGGCAGCACATATACAGCCACAACTCTTCTAGAAGGGCGGGAGATCCTGACAAAGTTGGGCCTGTCGGACGCTCCTTCACCTCAACGCCCACCTTCTACCCCTCAGGTATCTCCTATCTGGAACACTCCATCTCCACAACAGGAAAGAAGGAGAGTCAGACAAGAGCCGGGATGAAAGGGATTTGATCTTTTGCTTACTATTCTCTATTTTGATAAGATATTGAGACATGCTGTAGACTCATCATTTTCATATACGTCTGTTAATTTTGTCTTATCCCTTAGCTATTTGGATGTGCAAACATTTTGAATGGGTCTTCAGACCCTTAACTCACAGCCTGTATGCTGATTCTGTGGGACTCATTGATGCATGACCCCACCCTGTTGCCGAGCATGGTCAGAGATGTCAACTGCCGAGAGATGAAGTGGCTGCTCTGCTCTCCATGATTTGCAGCAAAACATCAAAGGGCCAACCAGGCCCAAACCCGGTTTTTACTCCACCCTATTAGCTCCCCCACAAATGACTTCCACTACCCTCGACGGCTTGTGGCTTGATTCTTTACCTCTCCCTGCTCCCACACCCTCTCAGATAACTTCCCTCAATGTCCCATGCACTCTGAAGGAACTAACCCGAGTGATTAGCGCACTGCAAACTTTTACAGCACCGGGCCCCGATGGGTTCATGGCTAGTTATTATAAGAAGGACTGCAGAGGACATTCTGACAATGGGGGGAACTGACTTGGTGTCACTGGCATTTCCGGTGACACCAAAATAGTGATCAGTGCTAAAAAAAAGCACTGGCACTGTACTAATGGCACTGGGCATCTCAGACTCTGTTCAGAGAGGTGTACTGTTTTCCTTCACTGTAGATCTCCCATTTAAGAAGGGCCCACAAGTTTTCAATAGGGTTCAGGTCAGTTGAGGAAGAGAGTCATGTCATTATTCTTTCATCTTTAGGGCCTTTACTGGCTAGCCACACAGTGCAGTACTTCGATGCATGCAATCGAGCATTGTGCTGCATAAATATCATGGTCTTCTTGAAAGATGCAGACTTTTTCCTGTACCACTGTTTGAAGAAAGTGTCTTCTAATAACTGGCAGTAGGTTTGGGAGTTGAGTTTGAGTCCATCTTCAACCTGAAAAGATCCAACTAGTTCATTTTTAACAACACCAGCCCATACCAGTACCCCACCTCCACCTTGCTGAAGTCTAAGTTGAAGTGGAGCTCTGTGCCCGTTACTGAACTAACGAATCCCATCCATCTGGCCCGTCAAGAGTTACTGTCATCTCATCAGTCCATAAAACCTTTGAAAAATCTGTCTTAAGATATTTCTTGGCCCAGTCTTGACTTTTCAACGTATGTGTCTTGTTCAGTGGTGGTCGGGTTTCAGCCTACCTTACCTTGGCCATGTCTCCGAGCACTGAACACCTTGTACTTCTAGGCACTCCAGGAAGGTTGCAGTTATGGAATGTGACAGCACTGGAGAATAATGGCTTCCTGGTAGCTTCACGTTTGATTCCTCTCAAATCTTTAGCAGTTAATTTGCGTCTTTTTTTCTCAACACGTTTTCTGCAACTCTGTTGACCATTAGCAACAAAACGTTTGATGGTTCTGTGATCAGATAACTAATAATTGTGCACACAGTGTATATCAGAAGTCTGTAATAATATCTCAGAATTCCGACATATTGAGGCTGATTTGCAAAAAGATTTGAGAATGTTCATATAGTAAATGATGTCCTTCAGACTGATGACTCCTGGTGGATTCCCGTAGAGGGCGCTTCGCAGATTGCTGTCGGTTACTTCTCCAGGGTGAGCCTTTGGACCAGGGGCGGACTGACAACTCATGGGCCCCCGGGCAATAGGGGATTATGGGGACCCTGTGTCCTTGCCCAAAAAAGCCTATGAAAAAGGTACCAGGGGCATCTCATGGGGTCCCCTACTGACCCCGGGCCCCGGGCAGTGCCCGAGTTTCCAAATGGTCAATCCGCCCATGCTTTGGACTCTTTTCCATGAAGGCCAAGGCAGAGAATCCCTCAGCACAGCCGTTCCACTATTTATTAGCAGCACAGGGTGGGGAGCAGAGCCCAGAAAGGTCCAGAGAAAATGCAGAGCCGAGCCTAACCCCCTCCCACCTGGTCAGCCTATCTAATTCAATCCCAACAACTGTAAGAACCTGCATATTTTGAAAGAGAGTGGGAGAAGTTCAGGTAGGGAGCTGAGGGAACAGGACTGGGATTCCAGAGCTGGCCCCCATGAGACTTGGAGGGGCCTATTCTACAGAGATGTAGCGCTCCCATTGATTAGTATTCCTCATCTGGGTAATACCTGGAGAGGTCCTGATGCCCTACATAGAAGGATGTTGGGGACAGGACATGGATGACCTCACCTTGAAAAGTGCCAACGACTGCTACCATAACTAGTGAGAAGTTGTATGCTCTGATGTTGTCCACCTCAAAATTGCAAAAGTAAAGTTCTATTGGACTTGCCTGGTCTTGCTAAGAATGGCCTATCTCTGGAACTGGTACCTGACTCAGCCGTGAAGGTTGCGAGGTGAAGTGTTAGGCATGGAGAGGTACATGTGCTGGTGAAGGTACACTATTTGTGGGGACTCCCACAATTGAGTGGAAGAACTGAGTAAAGGGGGGTTTCTTTTCAAATGATTAAATAAGTGAAGTGAATCTTCACACAATTTATTGTGTGAACATTCTCAAATACTTAAGTAAACTGAAACTAAAATATTTTATATGTTATCTGATCTAATAGATAGTATCTTTTTTTCTGCTGAGACATTTCCCATTACTGCTTGACCTAAAGACACAACAAGAAATAAAAGGAGATCTATTCAAAGTGAAACAAGCTTTTCATGCCAGATTATCATGTAGGATATTGCTAAAAAAAACTTTCAATAGCACTAGCAATTGATAATGAACTTTTGTGCCAGCAATCTAATCTGTGTACATAACTCCTTCAGGCTAGACCACGGCACCGCCTTGTGTACTGAGCAGTTAAGGAAATTACAGGAAAAATGAGTTTCGTTTCTGCTTGCTCTCTGTACAATGGCGTCTGCTGCTCTAGGAGACGAGCTGAGCTGTTCCATCTGCCTGAACCTTTATACGGAGCCGGTGTCACTGAGATGTGGACACATCTTCTGCCAGGATTGTATTGTGACTGTTCTGGATACACAGGAGGGGTCTGGAGTTTATTCCTGTCCGGAGTGCAGAGTGGAGTTTGCAGAACGTCCTACTCTGGAGAAGAACAGGAAGCTGTGTAATATAGTGGAGACTTTCCAATCTACTGATCAGGAGAAGACTGAGGCCTTGTGTACGTACTGTGACCTCCCCGAACGAGCTGTTAAAATGTGTCTCCAGTGTGAATCCTTGTTTTGTGAAAGGCATTTGCTTAAACATAGGAAATTAGTTGGACATATCTTAGTCAAACCTGCTGTTACCCTGGAGGACAAAAAATGCTCCATACACAGTGAGATCCTGAAATATTACTGCTCAAAAGACATGGTCAGTGTCTGTGTATCCTCCTGCTGCCTGCGGGTCAGCATAGAGGACACCAGGTGGAGCTTCTGAATGAAGCCTCAGAGAAGAAGAAAGTGAAGCTGAGGAAGCTTACGGAGAAACTAGATGCCAATGTACTGGAAACTGATCAAAGCATTCACAATCTAAGCACCTACAGAAAAGAAGAGAAAGCAAAAGCAGCAGCTATCGCTGAGAAGGTCAATGAGATGTTTGGAGACATCAGGAGGCAACTGGATGTTCTTGAGTGGAAAGTGTTGTGTGAGATCTTCAAACAGGAGACGTGGGTTGTCAAGTCAATCTCTAGGCTGATCCAACAGCTGGAGACACAGAAGAGTGAGATATCCAGGAAGATCGATCAAATCAAAGATCTGTGTGATCTTGAGGATCCTTTTACTTTTCTGGAAAAAGAGAAAGATACGGATAACCTCAACCCTGGGAGATGTGAGATCATCAGTGACATGAAGGATGCTGGTTGCGTGGATGAGACACCAATCTTGCAAATGCTTCACAGGGGACTTCTACTCTTTGCTGATGGCCTCACTGACTTGAAAATAAAGAGAGAGTTTTCATTGATGGAGAAAACAGACGTCGTATTGGATATAAACACTGCTCATAATAACATTGTTATATCGGATGACCTCAGGTCAGCATCTTATACTAACAAGAGTCAGAAGAGACTCAACTGTCCAGAGAGGTTTGCGTGTTGCCAGGTGTTAAGTACACGCAGCTTTTCATCAGGGAAACACTATTGGGAGGTGGATGTGAGTCAGGCCAAGAAGTGGCTGATAGGGGTGGCCGCTAAAAGTATTGAGAGGAAAAAAATGGGCAAAGAAGCCTACATAGGATATAATGCGAAATCCTGGGGACTTTATGAAAATCATTTTTTTAGAGTGTGCCACAATAATGTTCATAAAACCAAAGAGAAAAAGTCTCCAGTGGAGGCCATCGGGATCTATATGAATTATGAAGCCGGGCTTTTGTCCTTCTACGAACTTTGTAAACCCAACAGACACCTCCACACCTTCACCGCCACCTTCACTGAACCCCTGTATCCTGCTTTTTATGTATTCCCAGACTCTTGCATAAAAATCATCAACTAAAGCAAATTTTTGCTTTCAAAAATGGTGCCCTAACTGTTTAACCACTTCAGTACCAGCCTGTCATACCCCTTCCTTTCCAGGTAATTTTTCATTTTTCAGTGCTAGGATAGTTTGGCTGACAATTACTTGGCCATGCAACACTGTACCCAAATGACTTTTATATAATTTTTTTAGACAGGTAGAGCTTTCTTCTGGTGGTAGTTAATTTTTTAAATTTTTTAAAAGGTTAAAAAAGTTTTTTAAAAAATCAAATACAAATACCAGGACAGTACGTAAGCGCCCCAAAATGACCCTTTTTTAAAAGAAGACGCCCCATTACAGTGCAGATCAATGGGTAAATGTACGTGGCGGCAGGACCTGGAAATGTCATTATGCCAGCTCTGTATGCTGTATGGCCCCTGTAAGGCCGTGTGCATGAAGTCTAAGAAGGTAAAAAGGGTGTAAAATAACTTTTGATTTAAAACCAGGGTGTAGTCATGTTCATTTTAAGCTCATGAGTAATTACAGCATGCTGTCTTATGGAATTTTTATATTTTTTGTCTAGAACAGGGGTCTTCAAACTTTCAAAACAAAGGGCCAGCTTACTGTCCTTCAGACTTTAGAGTAGAAAATGACTCAGCTTCAGTGGGAGTAAAAAATGCCTCATCTTTGCTGTCAGTGAGAAGAATTTTCCCCATCATTTGTGTCATTGGGAATAATTGTACCCAAGAACTGGTGTCACTGGGCCCCATCGTTATAGTCTTTGGGAGGTATTATGCCCCATTGTTGGTGTCATTGGTAGGAATTGTACCCCATCGTTGCTGTCATTGGTAGGAATTGTGTCCATCATTGGTGTCATTGGGCACCATTGTTGGTGTCATTGGGAGGAACTGTGCCCCACTGTTGGTGTCATTGCAGGATTAGTGCCCCATCATCATTGGTGTCAATGGGAGGAATTGTTCCCCATTGTTAGTGTCATTGGGAGGAACTGCACCTCAATGTTGGTATCATTGGTAGGAATAGTGCCCCATTACTGGTGTCAATGGGAATAATTGTTCTACGTCATTGGTGACATTGGGAGGAACTGTGCCCCATCACTAGTGTCAATGGAAGGAATTGTGCCCCTTCGTTGATGTCAGTAAATGAAATAGTGCCCCAAGAGCCATATAAAATCAAGCAAAGGACCGTATTTGACCCCTAGACCACAGTTTGGAGACCACTGTTCTAGAATTTCAACTGTTTATTAAAAATAACTTTCTTGCACATTAAATTTGAATTTATATAACTAATCTTTGTACTCCTTGATGGTTTTGAATTTCATATATATATATATATATTTTTTTTTTTATTATTGTGATTGTCCAGTATTCCTGATAATCGAATAGACAAAAATTATTCATCCTGCTGCAATCGTTATAATGTAAAATAAATCAAATGTTAAAATGTTATACATCGTTGTAATTTGTGAAGACGAGTTTACAGTAGAAATTCAGGACAGAAAAAAAGATGAATGTTGGTGCCCTTTCTTTCCCCCTTTTCCATTCATATATACTGTATGAGGGGCTTGCTTCGTTTAAGTGACTCTTCAATGAGTGCAGTAATTACTTTGCTCCCTCCTAGAAGCTGGTCCTCCTCTAGGTTGCCACCCTCATCTCTTTAAAACTAAACACCTATTAAGTACACAGGTTCTGAGGCTGATTAGCTGATTAAGGTGGTAATTAAATTCACTTAGTGCCTGACCTGCATTAAATGAGCATCAGAAACCCGTGTAGTTAATATGTGTTCGGTTTTAAAGGGATGAGGTGGCAACCCTATCCTCCCAGGCAGTTTTCAAGGTCACCCCTTGCCAATAGTACTGCATTGTATAGGGTGATGTAGTTGGGCTTCCAACAATCCAGACAGAAGAGAAGACCGAAGTACCAGTGCTGCCACCAGGTGTATGGGCAATGCAATTGCATCTATGTTTATAGCCTAGGCTGTTTCACTAGTTGATTGGTTTTGCTGTCACCTTGGGGTTATTGTTTTACCTACACATGATTTTCTGTTTTCCTTCCCCTTTGTATAATGTCATTTCCTCCTTGCTCATTTGTGAGTTTGCGTATTGTTCCTACAAGACACACATTGAGGCTAGGATAGAAAATATTTGTTCACATCAACCTTCTGCAAGCAATACAGATTATCGATTCTTGGATGCCAAGTGTTTGGTGAGTTCATCTAACTGATGAAGATGGAGTGCGGGGATTGCCTTTATATATATTCAGGTAAGCCATAGAGTAGGGTTGCCACCTCATCCCTTTAAAACCGAACACTAGAGATGAGCGAAGTATTCAAAAATTCGATTCGGCTGATTCGGCGAATTCGCGGAATAAATTCGATTCGAGTCTAATATATTTGCTGCGAATTTAACTTATAAAAAGGGTGTTTCTAGGCTTCAGAGAGCCTTTATATTAGTGCAGAACACTGTACCTTTAATTTAAATGCCCTTGGAGTCTGCTGGGGAAGAGAAATAATACTGTCAGTCAGTATGACATGCAGATGAGTGCCGTCGATCTTAGAATCACCGCACACTTCACTCATTTGGGCAGTCACGGGGCCAAAACCAGAGTGTGGAGCCACAGTGTGGCGGTGGAGGCAGCAGCAATGGGAGGCCATACAGCACCCTATGACAAAATGGAACCCACCAGCAGTGTGAGGAGACCTGAAAGTGGCACATGGCAGAGTGTGGCGATGGAGACAGCAGCAATGGGAGGCAGTACAGGGACCCATGACACACTCTGGACCTGGCAGCAGCAAGAGGAGGGCGGTACGGGGGCCCATGGCAGATTACGGGCCTGGCAGCAGCAATGGGAGGCCCGTAATCTGCCAGCACCCTATGACAAAATGGAACCCACCAGCAGTGTGAGGAGACCTGAAAGTGGCACATGGCAGAGTGTGGCGATGGAGACAGCAGCAATGGGAGGCCGTACAGGGACCCATGACACACTCTGCACCTGGCAGCAGCATGAGGAGACGGTACGGGGCCCATGGCAGATTACGGGCCTGGCAGCAGCAATGGGAGGCCCGTAATCTGCCAGCACCCTATGACAAAATGGAACCCACCAGCAGTGTGAGGAGACCTGAAAGTGGCACATGCAGAGCAATTGTGGCGATGGAGACAGCAGCAATGGGAGGCCGTACAGGGACCCATGACACACTCTGGACCTGGCAGCAGCATGAGGAGGCGGTACAGGGGCCCATGACAGATTACGGGCCTGGCAGCAGCATGAGGAGTCGGTACGGGGGCCCATGGCAGATTACGGGCCTGGCAGCAGCAATGGGAGGCCCGTAATCTGCCAGCACCCTATGACAAAATGGAACCCACCAGCAGTGTGAGGAGACCTGAAAGTGGCACATGGCAGAGTGTGGCGATGGAGACAGCAGCAATGGGAGGCCGTACAGGGGACCCATGAGACACTCTGGACCTGGCAGCAGCATGAGGAGGCGGTACGGCCCATGACAGATTACGGGGCCCATGGCAGATTACGGGGGCCTGGCAGCAGCAATGGGAGGCCCGTAATCTGCCAGCACCCTATGACAAAATGGAACCACCAGCAGTGTGAGGAGACCTGAAAGTGGCACATGGCAGAGTGTGGCGATGGAGACAGCAGCAATGGGAGGCCGTACAGGGACCCATGAGACACTCTGGACCTGGCAGCAGCAATGAGGAGGCGGATGGTTACAGGGGCCCATGGCAGAGTGGGGAAGCCATAAGCAGCTTAAATGGAAGGCCATAACTGCCAGGCCTATGTTAAAAATGGAATAACATGTTTGGGGAGATGATTCATGGCACATTTAGTCAGTTGTGTCAGGAGACAGCAGCAATGGAGGGTTTGAAATCCAGACTAATGACACGCCTGATTCATTTTCACAAACGTGAGTCTACGGGGGCCCACACTTTGGGTGGACAGTCGTGTCCTCCGCGGAGGCCAATAGCCTACCTATGACAAAATGGAACTAAACACGCGCTCCGATGCCACGCTACTGGCCGGGCATGACAGCCTTTCAAGGGCAAATTCAGCTAGTTGGGGCCAAAGGTCAAGTTTCGTTGCCCAGTAGTCAAGGGGATTGTCTACCTCGGTTGGCAGGGTGCTGTCCAAGTAGGCCCAAGCCTGTTGTTTGAGGTCCTGCTCCAGGTCCACCTGATGCTGCTGCTGCTGGGGCTGGTTAGTAGTTTCCTCACTGCGCTGGTGAAGAAAGCTACTCATCATCGACTGCAGACTGAGGCAGCCGCTGCTGGTGGAGCTGCCACTGCTCCTACCACCCCACCCCTCCCCTGCTGCCATGGCAGCGGAACAGCAGCAATGGGAGCGCACAGGGCCCACAGTGTGTCTGAGGATGGACGTTGGCGCAGAAAGGCAGAGGACCAACTGACTACATAGGTGGTTTTTATAGTACTTTATTTTGGCCTCCCTCATGACAGCAGGTGTGAAAAAAGGCCAGCATTTTGAACGGTAGCGAGGGGTCCAACAAGGTGGACAGCCAAAAGTCATCCCTCTGTCTGATGGTTATTATTCGGCTGTCGCTACGCAAGCAACCGACCCATGCTATGGGCCATTTGTGCCAAGGAATGCGAGGGACTCCCTGCCTCCATCTCCACAG